CACACACACACACACGCAAACATGCGGGCATGCATGCATGCACAAACACACAAGCATGTGCAACAAATACTTTCCTGTCAATCAGTGTCTGAGAAAACACTACACACATCTGCATCTTAAAATCTCCCTTTATTATAAGTTCTATGATATTTACATTTAATGCACAGACAAGAGTGAGGCACGTTGTAGTTGCAGTACATGAACATACCAGGCAATGCTAACGCTAAGAACACAGCTACCAAAGGACACTGAATCAAAGAAAAACAAAGCACCTTTTTCATGGCGGAGCGCTCGCTCGGAATGATTGCATAGGTGTGAATGAGTAAAGTAGCTGATGCTTGTGTGACAGAGCAGTGGAAGACTCAGTTTGGTAGTTCAAGTCTTTGAGGTACAAACTTGTCAAAAGGTGGACGTTAAATGTCAGCAGTGAGGTGTCATCATCTCTCAGTCTAGTTTTAACAGTTGGTATGCTATTATCTGCGTGCTTTTGGTGCTGGTGATATCACAGTTCGGTAACGGGGTGAGTCTCAACCTTGAATCACTTTGGAAGCATTAATAAATGGAGGAGTGCATAAGAAGTTAATAATAAAATCACAATAAATTAGTTTTAGTACGAGCAATGCGCCAGCAAGCAGCAATCAAGGTTACTGGTGATTTGCAAGCAACAGTGAGTCTTCACATTGGTCCATTTTTAGCAAGGTTTAATGTTGTTAGTGCAAGAATGAGTGACCCTGTTAAGAAATTCTATATCATACTGATTCATAGCCTTAATTTAGAAAACTAAATGACTTCAGTTTGATTCAATTTACATATTATTTTCATTATACTGCATAACCAAACTCTTATGATCCATATTCCCATTTATTTTTTTAGTAAAACTACACATTTCATGCTTTTGTATCAGAGGGACAAAAGCCTGTAAGACACATCTAGCTGCCTCTGCCTCGCTCCCTTTGTTAATAAGTTAAAGAAACATCAAGGGAAACACAGGAGAGGAGAGAGAGAGCGAGGGGGGTAAGGGTAAGAAATAAACGCCTCATAGAAAAAGACAGAGGATAAGAAGAGCAGGTAAAAGAAGCAAAATGAAGTTGTTGTTTTTTTTTAAAAAGGGATCAAAAACAAGAGGAGCACAGAACACCACAGTCCTAAACGAGTGAGGTGGAAAGCGCAGAGCCGGGCTGTTCTTGCTGGCAGCTGGGCTTCCTGTTGCGACAGGGCAATTCGGATTGGCTCAGACAGAAGGGGTGAGGAAGAGGAGTAGGAGGAGGAGGAGGAAGAAGAGAAGGAGGAGGAGAAAGTAAAGCCAGCATTACTGTCCTACAGAGGAAACAGAAAAAAGAGATGAAATGGGGGAGCGGGGGAAGGGGAGGTGAGTGAGATGAAGGAGAGGCGGAGAGACAGCAGACATTAATATAGTTTTAATATTAATGCTAGACTCATACATGCAGGTGCATTAATAATGTATCTGGAAATGTAAATGTTGTTACTAATCGTATCAGCTGGAGCATGATGGTAATTTCTTACATTTGACTTCTCTGATGAAGCGCAGACCTTGTGTACTGGGGTGTGCAATGTTCATTAGAATTAAAATTTCATCGTGTTTTGTGTCTGCAGCCTTTAAGAGTTCATCCTAATTAAGCGTCCAGTGCGTTCACTCTTGTTAACACAGATCCACTGCTGCGAGGAGAACATGCAAGCTATGAATACAAATTTTAAAAACACACACCTTCTGCTTTAAAATGGTGTCTTCAAATCATCAGAACAGCTATGAGTGAATGCGCGGTGAATTCATGAGTAGAATCACACCCTTCCCAACAGACCAGTGATCGGTGTACTGTACACGCACTTATATGCGTAGTGGAGCAAGTGCATTGTACGTTATCTCTACCCCATCAACCTCCCAGTGAAAAAATATGCTGAAATGTCAAGAAACGTGCCAGCTTAATTAAAAGCTAATAAGTGGTTGCCCCTTTTTTGTTCTGTGACCCAGTGATTTGTTGGCAAGACTGTTTAAAGAAGATTTTGACATTTTGGGAAATACGCATATTCACTGTGTTGCCTAGAGTTAAACGAGAAGATTGATACCACACTCATGTCTGTACGCTAAATATGAAGCTACAGTTAGCTTAGCTTGACGTAAAGTCTGAACAGAGGGGGACACAGCTAGCCTCTCAAGCTAGCCTTGTTATATTTCGGTTGTTGTAAGGTTTAAGCAAAAATATATAGAACATGTTATTTAATGAGCTTTAGAAGCCTGGTAGGCAGATCTTTATGTTTACCTAAATTGGACGCAGCCATGCTACCTTTTCCCCGTGTGTAGGACTTAATGGTCGCCATTAAAGCGTGTAGGAGAAACTACGGTGGCTGCAAAATTTGCGAAAGACCCGATCTGGAGCCAGTGATTGGTTTGTCTCTCCTTGGGTACTGTATAAACATGGCGGTTCAATATGAGGGCCCCCGTGGAAGAGGACCCGCTTCCTCTGTAGATAAAAACAGCTCATTCTAAGGTAAACATACCTGCCAATAGATCCTCTTAAATGTTACAAAAATGTTTAAGTAAATGAGATAACGTGTTATATAGCAACCTTTACAAGTCCTGGTAGGCAGATTTTTATTTCAGCTTTACCTTTTAACTGACAGATACGAGAGTGGTAACAACCTTCTCACCTAAATGTGCATAAGCGTAGTTCCCAAAACTATTTATTTGAGTAATTGTTGTTGGTGCAGCCAGATCAGGGATACTTAAAAGGCCCAATCCTTAAGAAATGTAACAATCATTTCACTTTTTGTCTTGGTTAATTTAAAAGGTGTGAGATACGATTCATTTCAACAAGTACCATACCAAAAATATGTAGGGGATTGAGCCTTTTAAGTGCAGAGCGTTCATGTTCACCAGTTATCCCTCAGTGATTGACAGAAACCAACTCTTTCAAGCTTACCGTTAGTCTTTCCATGCTCTGACATGGATAAGGAATCTACCGTACCTGGAGTGAGCCAAGTCAACCAATCAGATTTTTCCACAAGAGAGAAGTTTGTTTCTACATCTGATAAACGTGTTTTTTATCATTTAGTCATTTTCTCCCCACCAAGAGCACTTCCCACAATAACTCCAACCACATGTGCGAGTTATTGATTTTCTCTCAAATGGTATGACAGAAATAATATTGTCCCTCTGAGAGAAATTAAGCTTGAGGTTTACTCACATTGCTGGCTGGGGTCTGATTCTGTTGTCATCTTGACATAATTGGTGGGCAGCAGGCCTGTGACCCCATTGGCGTCTCCTTTCCACCAGTCAGGGTTGGTTTTGTCCAGGATACTGATGAGCTGACCCTTGGAGAAGCTCAGCTCATCGCGATTGGCAGCGGTGTAGTCGTACATTGCGATAACTTGGCACACTGAGGGATCAGAGGCACAAATGGTGTTTTATATGAACGTGGGTTTAGGTATGTCGAGAAGTTTGATGTTTCAGTTCACTGAATTTCTTTAATCGTGCGAGCAGAGTGGTTCTAGGAATGGCAATGACGATGAATGTCTGTTGGTCCACCACTTTTGTCCAGACAATACATTGGTTTCAGCCTCAGTTGCACTGTGTGTTTAGTGCTAATTGGTAAGTGTTAGCATGCTTACTAAACTAAGATGGTACATATTATATCTAAACATGAGCATGTTAGCATTGTCATTGTGCCAGTATGCATTTAGCATTTAGCCCAAAGCACACCAAGTATAACCTCAAAGAACCACCAGTGGGGTAGTAGACTCTTAATCTTGTTGAATCTCATCAATCTATTGATAATGGCAAAGCCTTTTAAAGGTTTTATGGAATAACTGGACAAAATACAGCACTAACTGGATATTTGTAAGGTAACATCAATGCTGTTCAACTGCAAAATTCACAAAATGACAGAAACTACACAATACAATTTATACACTTATTCCAGGTTAGTGATACAGGGAGTTGCAGTAATAATAATAGCATCTTAGCATTTGCACCATACTTGTTTCATATATTAATGCAAATTTTTGTGACAGATTTCAAATTAAGATACCCATCAGCAGTTTGTGGCAGGGTTGTCAAAGTAAATGTGGACTAGAACAGTCAATGTGTCCACTTAAAATAATTCTGGATTTCGCAATTTACTACAGCAGCACTGCAATCCAAATAAGAAAAAGCGGAAAGAACCCAAGAAAATAATGTATCATGCACACTCGTCACGAACAGGATGTCATGTTCAAAGTGTGTCAGCCATCACCTGGCAGAGGGGAGGGGGAGGACTTGCTGCTGGAGGGACCGAGGAGCTTGACGTGAGAGGAATGAAACCAGCCTCTCTGCCGCTTCTTGCCTCGAGCCTGGAGGGAAAAGAGAGTAAATCAATCTCCTGCTGGTTCAGCTCTGAATTTTAAATCAAGAGATGAATTGATTAATCGATTTTGTCGGGCAGAGAGCTGAACCTCCAGAATCTTAGCAGTGCAAACAACAATTTATACTGCATCCTGACGGATCTTTAACTGGCAATGTATATTCACTGTCTTCATACTGTAAGTCAAGGCGAAGCTCAGCCTTAAATCTGTAGAACAACCAAAATATTTCTGTTCAATGTCTCATCCTTCTTCACCAAGCTTAATACACATTAAGATCAGCATGTTCTATATTGAGAGCTCTGGACAATTTGACAAAGCTCTGGGAATCCTATGCACTGCAACAATGTTTATTTAAATTTTAACTGTCTTGTCTGAACCGTCCACCCCTTTGCAGCTAACTTGGCTCAGCTGTCTCATTACTGTGTCTAACTGTTCACTGACAGCTTAAACCGGAGCCCGGAGCTATAGTGGCAGCCTCAGCACAAAATAGGCAGTGAGGATTGACCTCTCCCTGCTGCAGGTGTATGACCTATAGACAACCATGTTATTACTCCTGCAACCTCCTGTCCACCTCTCTCCAGCTCTTCATTGATCTGACAAGTCAGCAAATACAAAAAAACATCTACGGTACGAGCAATCCCTTTTACAATATGCAATTTATACAAGTGTGATGTAGAAAAGCCATCAGTAGAAATAAGGTAGGAATCATCTTGTGTCCAGCAGGAAAACTTTAGAAATGAACTAAATTTCCATATTCATAGATTCTGGATTTTTTAATGAGGTAGAAGGAGTACATGACTTTTTAAAGCATTTTAATGTGGAAATTATACTTTTTTCCATCGTCAGACACACATTATTGTTCCAAGCAGATTATCTGGATACACGTCTGCAGGAGATATTTTCTCAGTTTTCTTCAAATAAAGGCAGAAAACACCCGCAGCGGGGATATATTCAAATATGGGCAGTGGATTTAAGAGAACTACAAAGGATTAATCATGCTTATACAGTGCTCCAAGGTGCAGGTGACTTTAAACTGCACATTAGCATTTAGAGCCAAATGAATTCCTGAAGCAAAATCTTGTTACTGACATGTTAAAAGTTTTAGAGGCTAACATTATTTCTAAGATTATTCTAACTCTCATTGGGCCCCAACGGCTCTAATGACAGACCTGCAGTTCCCCGAGCCACCAGCCAGTGGAGTTCTTGGCCAGGACCACAATCAGTTGCCCTGGAGACAGACGCAGCTGATACATCGTTGGGGCGACGGTGGTGGTGGTGACTGCCTGGGCGATCTCTGTTGACCAAACAGAAATAGTGGAGGATGAATTTAGATCAGGTACATCACAGAGGTAATCACAGATTATGACAGTCTTCGTGTGTGTGTGTGTCTGTGTCTG